ACCTACCCACCCACTCCCACCACAAAGCACCATATGCAATTACTCAACTAGACCAAAAATATCACATTCACGGACTTGTTCTCCCCCAGGTGAAGCAACTATCTGCATCGATAGATCAAATAAATATTGTAGCTCACTCTTCTTGAAAGCTCAGGGTGGTTTATAGGAAGTCTTACTTATTTTATCCGCCCAAAGTGCCCCTGTGAAATAGTTTGGACTGAAAGAGTGTGACTGGCCCAGCATCTCCCAGTGAACTCCATGGTCCAATGGGGCTTTCAACCTATTAATTTTGAATGAAGTCTAAAATGTTTAAAGTGTAATGTTTGCAGAATCCTGAACTTATTTGATTATAAACCTATTTTCAGGCTGCCTTTTTCCCAGGTGGGGCTCTGCGGCTAGGAAGGGGGAAGAGCTGTGTTTGGCAACCTTCAGAGTCCTGAAAACTGAACTGTTACTGCTGTAATATACTTATTAGTGATTAATGTACTGGTACTGTATTTTGACTACCCTGGAAGGAAAGAAACACTTGTGGGATTTCCTCTTTTCAATGCCAAGGTAACGTGGCTGCTTTGAGTACAGTAAAACTGAAATTGGGGCAGTTGTAAAAAGTTGTGTGTGCCCGTTTTCTTCTCTAGCTGTCAGCCACATTTGTTAACTTGATCCTTTAGTCTAAAATGATCCAATTATGCTTTTACTGTATTTATATTGCTTCTGAATGCTCTGTTTTGTTTATCACCCAAAGGACTTGCATTCTAGAAATGTAGTAAATAAGAAGCGAGCAAATAAACTGGGTGAAAATGTTTTTGATTTGGGTTTTTTAAGTGTGCAGCATCTGACACCCATCACAGTGATTTTTTGGGAGGCAAGGCACCAATTTGCTACCTGCTAGTCGCACTAGAACCAAGAAAATGCCACCGTAATACGCAAGTGCTAAAAAACAGGTTCCTCGAGAGATGAGCTGTTCCTCCCACTGCCTGATTAGTAAGTGATGCTTCCAATGCTGAGCATGACCCCATCAGCTCGTCATCCAATGGCTTGCTGCCTCCCCCACACTGGTTGCGCAAAATTACTGCAGGCCATTCACGAGGCTGCATTGCTAAGGAAACAGAGAAGAGCCATCCCATTCCATCCCCAAGTCCAAGTGCTAATTTGCCTCCTGGTCCCAAAGAAAAGCATCATGCAAATACTGCATTTGCCAGCTGGAACAAAAACAAAACAAGAAAAATGGTGGTGACCAAGGTGTGCTTTAAAAGGGAACTCCAATAGGCTATTTTGTTTGTGTGCAAATTTCTTGCAACCGCATCAGGTGGTTTATGATTTTCTGGAGGACGAGGCCAAAATGGAAGCTGGCCTTCTCAGAATCTGCATAGCTACTGTCTGGTTGGCTGCCCAACCTTCCCTCCTGGATTTACAAACGCAGAAGCCTCTGATGCTTTTGCAATTAATTCTTGAGAACTGTTGCTAGTTGGAGTAAACAGTGATGGATAAATGGGCTGGGTTACACATTGTACAAGATATAAAGATATAGATATAAATATAGATATAGACAGATACAAAATATAGTTTGTTCTGTTTGGACTTAGAGATTTGCAAACCAAATGAGAATCCATGATTCACAAAACCATGGTTACACAAACCCTAATTTAGTAAATGATGCAGAACATATTTATCCAACGTAGTGTGAGGTAGCTTTCTAGGATAATGGATGGACACCAAGTACAAATAAAAAGTGTCTCTGATCGTGAGTACAATTTGCCCTTCAGTGAACCTTGCCAGACCCTGAGACCTTGAAGTGGGAAGAATTGGGGGGCTGCTTGTCCGAGTATGTAATACGTAGGCATTTCCTTTTTCACACATTCACTACCAGGAACACACAGGTGACCTAAACAGCTTTATGGGTTGCTTTAAGATTGGCAATTTCATTCTCCTCTCACCAAGCACATGCCAAGGGTCTTTCTTTGTTGACTTGATTTCAGAGTTACGGATTCCAACCTGAACTATGTGCTCTGAGACCAGAAACATTCAAGTCGGGGAATATGGGACTTAACACCAAAACAATCAGTTTGTTCACCTTTACACTACACAAACAATTCATTTGGTCATACTTTGTACAAAGCTCAAGACACAACATTGAGCCCTTTTAGACTTCAGGTATAAATTCAGCATTTTGATTTAAAATCCCAGTCTAGTTTGGAAGGAAAAAGAGAAAAGCAGTTGCATAAACACATATATTTAATGAATCCAAGTAGATTCTCCATTACAAGGCAAAAATTATTATCTGAATAATAAAGCTGCTTCCAGACCAGACTTATGGATCTAAAACTATTCTTTGCTTGAATTATTAGCTCCTAAATCTTATAGCTTCTTTTGACTCTTTCTCCTCTCAAACAGTTTCTAGCTCAGTTGGTTCTCAGCTGAAATTTTAAAATCTGGTGCCTAAAAGCATTCTCCTTTTTTCCTTCCCCATCCCTTTTCCCTTTTGTGTGTAAGGCCAAGAACAGGGACCATATTGTTTGATACTGAATCATAAGGTGTTTCAGGAGCATTTTGGGATCAATAGTAGAACAAGGGAGTTTTCAAATAAATCTATTTATCATGTCCTATTTTCTCCTGGATGGAAGAGGTTTGAATTTCTGCTCTGAGCAAGAGATAGGATCCACTGGCCTAAATACCCCCTTTCAATTCTATGATCCTGTGGACATGGGTCTTGCCTCCCCTCTATCCCCAGTAATTCAACCATTGACCTGGTGGTACAGCTCTTCTGATTGGGGCTATGCTACCTCCATTTTTAAATCTGTTTTATCAGTGAGGATGTTCAGAAATGCTACAGTAGAAAACACAGCTGGCTGTTCCAACCACTTGGTTTTGCTGGCAAAGCATACCAGCAAACACAGAGCAAGTAAAAGCAGCACTTCAAATAATCAAGCTCTTTAACCAAGCTAGAAGCAGCGCAACAAACTGAGAATGCAAAAATTAATTTGGAGCTGATGACAAGTGCCCCAGACAACTCAATGCTCAGGACTCACCCTGCAGACGGACATCTGGTTGGTCGTCAAGGTGCCTGTTTTGTCGGAGCAAATCACTGAAGTGCACCCCAGGGTTTCCACAGAAGGAAGGCTCCTGACAATGGCATTCTTTTTGGCCATCCGGCGGGTGCCCAATGCCAGGCAAGTGGTGATAACTGCAGGAAGTCCTTCAGGGATGGCAGCCACTGCCAAAGCCACAGCAATCTTGAAATAATAGATGGCACCACGAAACCAGGAGCCACCATGCACAGGGTCGCTGAAGTGGCTGATGTTGATGACCCAGACTGCAATGCAGACAAGGGAGATGACTTTGGAAAGCTGCTGGCTGAACTCATCCAGCTTCTGTTGTAGAGGAGTCTTCTCAGGCTCGGTGGCCACCATCTGGTTCCTGATTTTCCCAATCTCTGTGTATACTCCAGTGGCAATGACAACACCAACAGCTTTGCCAGCAGCAATGTTGGTGCCCTTGGGAGGAGAAAATACATTTTAGGTGAGGTTCTCTTGCTAAGGCCTAAATTAAGGTTGTGCAACTTCTGACAGACCAAGGGCTGCACGTGGCCTAAGAGTGGCTTTTTTGGGTTTCACACAAAAAAGTAGATGAATAGGTGGGGCCAAGAAAACAGCTAAACTTGATTTTTCATTTTCATTTATATTTAATCAAAATTAAGCAGTTAACATGATCACTCTCCAGTTATGTAAAAGTTCTTGGAATTTGATAACAATTTTTAGAAGTCTCTGGGTATTGGACTCTCATGGAGACAAGGATGAACATGACTAAAAACTACATCTTGTATATACAGTATTGCAAGAAACAATATCCTTAAAAGACAACTGACAGTTTCTAAATGAGCAAGAATGATAGTCCAGATTTATACCCACTCAGCTCTCAAACTCTTCATGGTCTCTTGCAGGGCTGCTCTCTCAGAAGAAGACATGAATTTCCTCTTCTCTCAAGTCTTCATATTATTTTAAATTTTTTTATTTATCAGATTTGTCACTGCCCATCTCGTTGAAACGACTCTTTATTATCCATTGATAATATCCA